CAGAGGGGACACCTTCTCCTTTAGTCCTGGAGGAAAGAAAGGGAGGACAGCTGCAAACAGAAGAGTGTTTACATTTGGGGGCACGTAGCTGGGGAAGCCCACTCCTGACAGCTTTGATTTTCTAGGTTTAAAACTGCTGCCAGTGATAACGGGCCTCCTCTTGAAGACGGAGCACCTGGAGCTGAGGACATACTACAGCATGTCGACCTCTGGTGTACTTGCAGAAGTCCAAGTAAAACTCCTCAACAAGATTCTCAAGACCAGTCTGGAAGTGTCTGGGCACAGGAGGAGGAGACGGGGTAGGTGCGTTACTGACTGATGGGAACAACAAAATTTGGAATGAGGCTGGAATTCCCATAGAGAATTGTGAAACATAAACATCTGTGATAAACCAACGGTCTAGAACTTGATTCTAGGGCTGACTCAGACATTCCATACACACCAAACCCTTCTGGAGGACTCAGGAATCACTGCTGAATTTCTCCAGGTCAACATTTTGGGGGCTTGGTTGCTACTAGAGTCTCCTAATGGCCACAGTGAGGGAAGAAGTTCTAAAAGGGTTCAGGGCCTGGAAGGTGTCACTTCCCCCTTATTCTCCTGTACCAGCTACATAAGTTGGATATGTTACAAGGGAATGGGACAAAAAAAGAGACTTTGCACACCGCCTACCAAAACCCCAAACCATTTCTTATAAACTGGATCCCAACACTGAGCCTGGTTCTGCTTGTTCAGGGCAGCACAGTGGTTCGAGGCTGCCCTTCTACATGTCAGTGACTTGTGTACAGGGAAGGGAGCTGTGGTTGAAAATCCCAATCCCAAGTCTGGGGCTCATATTTAGCTATGGTAACAATAAAGCAGACATAAAATTGAGGAGAATTTTCTATTTGCCAGGTCAGATATTGTTACCACCCAAGGGAAGCCATCAGCCTGCAGCAAGACATGCCAATAGTCAAGAGGCCAGGTGGTAGGAGAGAAAGGGTTTTATTACAGCTTGCTAGTAAGGAGGAGGATGGCTGACTAATATCTGAAATAACCATCTTACAGAACAAAGATTACAGGCCAGTCATACAGGGGGCTGATCTCTGGGTAGGAGCACCTGTCTGATCTTGGGGAGGGGGTGCAGACGTCTGGTCTTAGTTCCTGATAATCTTTTGTTTTACTGCATATGCATCAGAGACCAGAGCAACGCCCTATATCCCGATCTTTCCATTGTCATTGATGGTGGCATAGACTCTCTGCCATGGTCATCACATTCCTAGGGAACTCAAAAGAACAAAGTTGTCAACTTACAGCAGCCGGGAGGGGCCTTAAAATCTACAGAGCGTGTATACCTCCTGGAGGGTGCTTATCCAGCTGGGCTAGATAATCAGGTCATCCAAAGCTACAATATGATTTCTTTTCTACAATATGGCTTCCCTTCTGTCAACCTTTGTTGATATAAAGATTACTTTATATCATATTAACTTGAAAGACATTTGAGTTAGTTTCTATTACATTTAGAAATAATTTATGTAAGTGCTTACTTTAAGTCAATTTCATTAGAGCTCCTAATTTTGGCCGTATCATCCAGAGGTAGAAACATATCTCACATTTACAACACATAGACATACACAAGCACACAGGTAGACAGAGATCTTATAGCTTCCGTCAAATTTTTGGGAATCAGGTGCAATACAAAACTCATTATTAGTTTATGAGAAATACTCTCATTTCATAAAGGCACAGAGAAAGCAGTCAAGTTTTTTTTCCTAGATGGGGTTTCTGGGGCATGTGTGCCTTATCACTTTCTAAAGTCCCAATGTCTAGGAACAGGGCAGGCTCTGGGATTGGCAAAAGGACAAGTGAACTTTGAGCTGCTTTCTAGGGCCATATTTCTGGCCTTGCAGAGATTTGCAAGACAAAGAGGGTTGCTTCAGGTTCCCCCAAAGAACTGGATTACAGTCTGAATGAGAAAAAACGTTGACCCACCCTTCCAGCGACGTTTTTCCAATTGCTTCTTTATATCAGAGAAATTTTTAACTGAAGAAGTCAAGCAAAAGATTTTTATTCTCTAAGACTTCAGGACAATGTAGCACACCTTTAAAAGCCTGTACAAGGTATTCAAAAAAGGCCCTTTTTCTAAGTGTACAATTTAACCCCAGACCAATTTACCTTGTGGGGAAGTTTTTCCAGCCAGACATAAGAACCATTTTAAGAGCACATTCAGGCAAAGTTGATATAACCTCTTTATATAAAATTAGCTAAAACATTCCAACCTTTATAATCTTATCAATGCTTATACTTTTACATTTTCTCAATTTAATTGTAGCCTGAGTCAGGATTTTAAGGCTACTCATTATTTTTGTATTTTCTTTTAATTCAGTCTTTTCCTAGGCACCAATAAAACAATTATGATGAGAGCTCTCTAAAACTTTTTTCCAATTTAGAAGTTGTTCCAATTTAAATGATCTCTCTGGCCACATTGATGAGTAGGATCTTAATAGCCACTCAAACCCATAAGCCTTTATGGCTTAAGCATGGACATGAGAGGCGTCCCCCAAAAGAGAGTACAAAAGAAGCAGCCCTCACAAGACCCAGAGGGTTCACTCTCAAAAATAGTCCAAGAAAGCAAAGGCTTCCACTGCACAGGTGGCAGTGCACTAACCAGCAACAGAGGTTGAGACAACAAAGGCCCCTTAGGAAGGCAATTGGGACCCCTTATGACATACTCCCCTGAGATCTGACACCACCAGACAAAGAGAGCACATCTTGGAACCCCAGTCTATTCACCTGACCAACAAGATGCGCTCCAGTACATGCATCCTCTGAATGATGGAGACCAGAAAGGTCAAAAAGCCATGCTCTCGAAAACAGGATTGAAACAAAAAAACAGCCCACTAACTGGGAAAAAATATTTACAAGCTACTTATCTGACAAAGGATTAATATCCATAATATACAAAGAACTCACACAGCTTAACAACAAAAAAACAAACAACCCGATCAAAAAATGGGCAGAGGACATGAACAGACATTTCTCCAAAGAAGATATACGGATGGCCAAGAGACACATGAAAAGATGTTCATCATCCCTAATCATCAGGGAAGTGCAAATCAAAACTACACTAAGATATCACCTTACAACTGTTAGATTGGCAAAAATATCCAAAACCAAAAGTGACAAATGTTGGAGAGGTTGTGGAGAAAAAGGAACCCTCATACACTGTTGGTGGGAATGCAAACTAGTGCAGCCACTATGGAAAACAGTATGGAGATTTCTCAAAAAGTTAAAAATAGAAATACCCTATGACCCAGCCATCCCACTACTGGGTATCTACCCTAAGAATCTGAAATCAGCAATCCTAAGAATCCCATGCACCCCTATGTTCATCGCAGCACTATTTACAATAGCCAAGACGTGGAACCAACCTAAATGCCCAGAAACTGACGACTGGATAAAGAAGATATGGTATATATACACAATGGAATACTACTCATCCATAAAAAAGGACCAAATTGTTCCATTCGCATCAACATGGATGGACCTGGAGGGTATTATGTTAAGCGAAATAAGCCAGACAGAGAAAGATGAACTCTATATGACCCCACTGATAGGTGGAAGTTAACATATAGACATGGAGAACCGATGGGTGGTTACCAGGGAAAAGGGGGGGTGGGGGGAGGGCACAAAGGGTGAAGTGGTGTACCCACAACATTACTAACAATAATGTACAACTGAAATCTCACAAGGTTGTAATCTATCATAATAAAAAAAAAAATACCTAAAAAAAAAAAAAGCCATGCTTTCAAGACATAGAACAAGACAAAAGAAAAAAATCTCATCTTACATGCACAGCTTTAACTAAGCCTTGGGTCTCTTGGAGCCAAATTAATACCTACCAGGGAGGTGCCTTGGGGTTGGGTATTGTGTGTGCTTTACAGAGTACCTCATCATTGCGTGGACTTTTTCTTGAGGTTGGTGGGGGACCTGTGTCATCTCCCCCATTCTGTGACCAACTTATCCTATCATGGGAGTCTTCTTGAGGTGGCAAATGCCCTAATGACTCTTAACCCATGCCCATCATATTTGAGGCTTTTTCATCTTCCAAGATGCCCCCAGCAATAGCTTTTACCTCACGCACATATTCCCAAACAGGCTCATAGAGATGTCTGCGTCTTGCCCTATGGTTTTTCCTTTTTATGACAAAGGACACAAAAGACGGAAAGAGGAAAATTAGTGACCAACTCTGGGAGGAAAAGGATCAATAAACCAATGAGTACTCAGTAGTTCACACTACATACTTGTAGCTAAAAGTCACCCAATTTGAGAAAATGCAGCCTAAAGGCTACAGGTGGGAATAGAATTAGTGCTTCCCTTTGTTTCATAATTTAGACATGGCTGGTCAAAAGCATATTTACCCCGCAGATAGGTCAGATCAGGAAAATTTTAGGGCATCCCTAAAACCAAGACCCTCACAATTAAGGACAAGCCAAGGCTTTCTTCTAGTGGCCAGTGTAATTCCCCTGAGGCTGACAGCAGTTTGGTAGGACCCTTAGCCACAAATGTGAGTGCAGCCTGCATTTCTGTCTGACCATCTCTGACTGCAAAATGGAGTGCAGCCACATTTTTTTTCCACTGTAGTTTTGGGGCCCCCCTAACCTGACAATTATCAAGCCAAGCCCTCAGGACACAAAATAAGCTTGATAAGATTCTCCTGTTCTTTGTAAACATTTACAGGGGCCAGCCCTGTGGCCAAGTGGTTAAGTTCGCATGCTCTGCTTCAGTGGCCCAGGGTTTCACCAGTTCGGATCCTGGGCGCGGACATGGCAACGCTCATCAGGCCATGGTGAGGCGGCGTCCCACATAGCACAACTAGAAGGACCCACAACTAAAATGTACACCTATATACTGGGGGGGGTCTAGGGAGTAAAAAAGCAGAAAAAAAAAAAAAGATTGGCAACAGTTGTTAGCTCAGGTGCCAATGTTAACAAAAAAATTAAAATAAAAAAAATAAACATTTACAGCTTCTGGAAGCTTTAGGTCAAAAGGTGGGGCCCTTGACTGTTTAAAGATTTCTTTGTTTCTTGGTTCCAAAGCTAAAATGGAGCCCAAAGTGGCCACTTAATTTTAAATTATCCCATGTTATCTTGCCATATTTTTATAGTTATCCCCATTTTAGGGGGCTTGACCCAAGGTGGCTGCAACAAACATGGTAATTTCTAAAGTGAGTTATAATCACCCAGTAACTCAGTCCCCAAACAGCCAATTTTAAGCAGTTTACTGACACAGAAAAACCAGACACCAATGAAACTAGTTCACAGATTTAGGGTAAAAAGTCCTACAACTCTTCCCACTCTGAACATGCACCCAGATGGTCCTATTGGATCCCAGATGGCCCTGCCATAAATGGAAGGGCCCCAGACGGCCCTGCTGTAAACAGAAGGACCCCAGGGGAAGGCAGTTCACAGGCATCCCCAAGGTGACTTACCCTATTCCAGATTGAGCCTGTGGACTGGCCAGATGTAGCTGTTTCTCTTTCTACCACAGTCAGTGTTAGGAGGCAGCCAGCATCAGTACAGGAAAGCAGGAAGGGCAGATCCCCGAGACCAAGAGAGCCACGGCAGCTGCTAGAACTTAGCCGACAGGTTGCCCATCAAGGTTGACTGGCCATGAGTAGGACTTAATGTCCCTTCATGTTCGCCAAATTTGTTACCACCCAAGGGATGTCATCTGCCCACCACGAGACATGCCAATATTCAACAGGCAAGGTGGTAGGAGAAAAAGAGTGTTATTACAGCTTGCTAGCAAGGGAGAAGATGCCTGACTAATGTCCAAAGGAACCATCTTGCAGAACAAAGACTACAGGCCAGTTATATAGGGGGCTGGTCTTTGGGTTGGAGAGGCAGCTGGTCTCTGGGCAGGGGCACCTGCCTGATCTCTGGGTGGGGGCAGACGTCTGGTCTGATAATCTTTGTTTTACTGGATATGGATCAGAGACCAGAGCAATGCCCTATACCCAGATCTTTCCATTGTCATGATGATGGCTATCAACATAGACTCTCTACCCAGAGGTCATCACAGTCCTGAGTAACTCAAAAGAACAAAGTTGTCAACTTATAGCAGCTGAGAGGGGCCTTAACATCTACAGAGCATTTATCTCTCTGGGAGGTTGCATATGCAGCTGGCTGGTTAATCAGGTCATTCAAAGTTGCAGCATGGCTTCTTTTCTACAATATGGCTTCCCTTATGTCAACCTTGTGTTGAGCTGGTATCAATATGAAGTTGCTGAACTGTCAAATCTGATTCTTCTTTAATGCTTTGATGACAAGGAAGATGGAATCTCCTGTAAAGGACCTGCTACAATACTGAAAATTATTCTAGACTTTTCAATACTTAGTTGGCATAGTTTCTTCAAAGTTTTTAGTTTGGGCAATTTGAGATTTTAAATTTTCCTACCCCTTCTAAAACACGTCATGATAGTTTTCTCAGAAATAAGCCAAGGGGATGAATTGGGTATTCTGTTCATGTGACTAGGAGTGACATTAAAAACCGTAACAACTAGAACTCTAACCACAGGACCAGGAATGGAATTTGCCACCCCAAAATATGCCTCTCTGGCATAAGGGCTACTTTGAGCTGGTGATTATTTTTGAACAAAAGCAGACACAGGAAAAGCTCTGAAAACCTCGTAGAAGTTACCCGTTTGTAAGGGAAATCTCCATGTGTAAGGGTGCCTCCCTCTCTGTGCCAGGAAGGGGAGGATGACTCCAACTCTCTAGAAACTCTTATCAATAGAGAAGGCTATGACTTAAACCTGCCCAACAACTTCACTCTTTTTTACTGTGCTTTTCCTGGTAACCCCCAAAACCGACCTCATCTCAACCACACGACATTAAAGCTGTTTATCAGGTGTGGCCAGCCAGCCAGGAGCATGCCCAGGATGAAAATTTTGATCTGCCAATTGAAACTCATCCTGTGCTTCTACCTGCCAGCATGCCCTTCCCGATCCGTTAAGCCTTACCCCATACCCTGGATAGGGAGACAGAATTGAGAGCCTGTCCTTCTGTCTCTTTGCCAATCAATTGCATGGTAAACTACTTCTGCCCTCAAAGACTGGTGTGCCACAGTCTCTATATTCGCTTCTCTGCCTTTGGGATGGTGAGCTCTTGCTCAGTAACAGAATGGGCACTGGCCAATGTGGCAAGGGGCAGGTCTGGTTTCCCTTTGTATGTCCATGGGGGATGGGGCATTTTTATTCCAATTTCTTGGGACAGGGTAAGTCCAGCAGGCCAGCAGACTGGGAGCATCTAGGTTCTTGATATCTGGATTATTTTAGCACTCTATTGTGGAAAAGTTATACTTCAATACTGTCCAGACACTACAAAGACTACTTTCAGGTTAAAAAAAAAAAGTTTTCTGAACGTTTATATCTGTAACTTAAGAATCATATTTTGTACTTGTAAATCTTTGTTTATTAATTAGTTTGTGGGATTTAGAACTAAAACCTGCCTTTCTACAGGACTGTGTCAAAAGTGTTTTCTCTCTAGTTAAAAACAACCACAGTTATGGAATTATGGTATTCTTCTTCTAAATATCCCTTAACTTCCCACACTCTTCCCCATTCCCGCTGTCTTCCATCTCTGTCACTAGAGCACTTGGGAAGAGAACTGGGTGGTCCAAGACCTTTACTCCTGTGGTATCATGACTCAGTCGATCATAATAGCCATCATTTATTTGGCTCATTGTATGAGCCAAGCAGTGTGCTAAATGCTTCGTATTAATGGTCCCGTTTATTCTCCCTGACAACTCTGTGACGCAGGTATGGGTTGTTATCTCCAGCTTCCTAAAGATGAAACTGAGATCCACGGGGAGAAGATAATGCCCGAGGGCACAGAGGTCAGTGGTGGAGCAAGGACTTGAATCTCGGCGTCCGATTCTGGAGCCCGTGTTCCTAACCACTAGGCCAGAAGAATTACTCTTTCCTTAGAACGTTACACCTGGAAGGGACTAGAGGGATTATCTAGTCAATCCACTTACAAAGGAAGAAGCTGAGGTCCACAGACGGGGGTTACCAGTTCAAGAGCCCAAAGATGACACATGACTAGGAGATGAGAGCACAGTGGTGCTTCTGCTCCACAGGTCACTGCTCTTGTCATGAGCTCCTGCAGCTTCATCTACTACCCTCAACTAGAGGCTCTGTGGTCCCGTGAGGGTTTATTTGGTCCTCTGCAATGAGTCTCCAAGGCACACATTTACCTGCTTCTGGGGCTGGGTGTTCCCCTCCTCCTCGATCACTCTTTGACTCAAAAACATAATTCTCCCCTTTTCTATTCTTCCCTGAGGAACAAGTGTCTGCAGAAAATAAATAGAACATATGTTGAAGGTGCATCAGAAACTTCAGGAAACAGACATGAAAATACAGCCTTATTTATTGTTTTAGGATGGACTAAGAGAAAGTACTTACAGGATTTACTTCTCCAACAAATACAAGCCTATGCTTGATACTAAAACATTAGATAACAAATGTCACCAATTTAATAAAGCAGAGTGTGTGTCAAGGACAAACAGCTGGACAGAGAGAGGAGAATGAGTGTACCATCCCAGAACTCTCCCCACGCCAGAGAAGGAAGCAGAACCTCAGCTAGACCGGGCTTCACACTGTAGGTGAAAAAGCCACTTCCTCTACCCTCTAGGTCCTTCTGACTCATCTAAGAATTAAATTGACAGGAGACAGAATAACGAGAGAAAATCAAACAAAGTTTAATAACATGTATACATGGGAGAAACCCAGGAAAACTGAGTAACTCACTAGAATGGCCAAAGTCCCCATCTTAAATACCATCTTTAGCTAAAAGTCGTAGTGGTTTGGGACTTAAAAGGAGAAGGAAATTCACATGGAAATTGAAAAGCAAATGTTTGGTAGACAGAACTTTGATAAGAAAGGGCTTAGCAAGGACCCTCACAGTCTACTGATACCTAGAGTTATCTATGGTGATGGCCTGACCTGGGGACAGGCCTTTTATCTTAAATTCTTTTAGGCAGTTAGGGGGAAGGTCAAAGGTCAGAGTCTTTTGTTCTTAAAATACTCAAGGCAAAGAGACACATTTTGGGGTGACCAGTTCTGATCCCCTATAACACAATGGCTAGCAGAACAGTCAAGATCGGTTATCTTTAAAAAAATAAACAATAAGCATTCACAAGGCCCTCAAACATGCTAATTCAGTTTGTCACCTCACCGTGCTGGCAGGTCCCAGTAGCTCCACTTTTCTGGCTAGGCTCAGGGAGGCTCCGTGCTCGCCCAGGGTCATCAAGTAGTGAGTGGGTCATAGGGCTGGGCTTCAAAGCCAGGGGCGCGGTCTCACTGCCTGTTTGTGGAAACCAGCACACGAGTGAATGCTAGGCTGCGAATCCTCTCACTCTTCTATTCTGCTTCGCCTTTATCTCTGGCACCGCAAGAGCCTCCTCCTCAGTCTCTCTGATTGCTCAGATCATGTCACATTCCTCTTGAGCGTGTCTGCAAAGGTTATTCATCAGCACTCATTCAGCGTCCCAGTGCCATGAGGTTAGCTCTCTCTCAGCCAAGGCCACAGCAACTTGCTACATTCCAATCATCATGTTACTTCATTCAGCCTTGTCATGTTACTTGAAAAGGGTCCATATGGGCCAGCCTATACAGAACCAATCATTTCCTCCACAAACATGGAGCCAGAAGAGAATGAGAGAGATGAGAAAGACAGATGAGGAAGACATAAGCAGTTTTTTGTAGGCTAGAGAATCAGATGTGCCTTTCAGGTTGATTTCTATTATTGCCCACCTTCTGGAGGCCCCTTCCCATCCAGACAGTGAGGGGAGGGGAAGGAAGAAGAGCAGCCAGCGTGAGACTGTGGAGGAAGACAGTGACCACCGCTGAGCCGAAGGGGAAAGAGACGGCCCGGTGACAGCTATTACTGTGCAGGACAGACAGGCGTGGGGGCTGCTGAGCCCCTGGAAGAAAGGGATTGTTGCCTGGAGCTGTGGAGACCATGTCCAGTGGGATGGGGACAGGGAATATGGAATCCAAATGATGAGGCTGGTGGGGCACTGGGGCCATCGAGAACCTGGGCTCTCCTCCACAGGCCAGAGATTTTCCAGGATGCTGATTCCAACACCTTTGGATTTTGTGGACCAATAAAAATTCAAAAGCATTTTGGGGGCCAATTTAGAGTTGTCAACTTTTGTCAAACAAAGATTTTAAAAGAAATGGCCATTTACTAAGGCTGTCACCTTCACTTCATTATAGAGTAGGGACATGTCTAAACCCCCAAATCATGAAGGATTTAATACATAAAAAGAACAATTCTTTCAATGGAATAAATTTATCCTTATAAAAAACTCACTACATGCTCATTTGTCTCATGTTGCCACAAGTGGATGAGAGCTTTATCCTGGATGAGTACTGATCTTTCTTCAACTAGCTTTGGGTATTGACATCTCTGAATTCTCTTATTCTCCTTCGTGACTCAGCCTGTCCAAGATGCTTCAGGCAGGTCTTCAAGGCTCCCACATGCCCTCTCACCTGACAAGCACTCTTCCCTTGGGGCAGCTGGGGTGTCTGGCTTAAGTAATTTTCATTCCCAATTTCCTTTGCTCATGCAATTAATTAAAATCCTTGTTCTCCACTTATTCAAAGTCTTTTGACTCATACTTCACAGCATGGCTGAATGTCCACGCCCGTCACACGGCCAGGGCCCACCCACCCATCCATCAGGCACAGTAGGCACAGAGACTGGGGCTCAGGGTACTTTGAGGGGCCCACAAAAATATTTTAATTTAATTTCTTCTAAAATCACAAGAAAACAATGAATATAATAATAATGAATATACATTAGTGAATCCAGCCTGTATTATATTCATCTCATTACCAACACAGTCATAGAATATATTCAATTTTCTTTTACGGAGGAAGGGCCCATGAAAGTCACAATGCAGCCCTCCTGGCAGCCAACCCCACCTGCTCCAGTGCTCACGAGCTCCTCCTTCTGAGCCTCTGATGCCCTAACAGGACCACACAAGCAGGCCCCAGGGGAGCCGTCACTGCTCCCTGTCTCTGTGGCTAAGAAAGAAGGTCCTCGAGCTCACAGTGAGGCCTCCTGCGTAAGCCTTCATCCCGCTGGGGCTGCTATTGGACCACTAAGTTAAACCCTGGCTCCATCACTTACTAGCTGTGTGAACTCATCTAATTTTTTAACCTCTCTGTGCCTCAGTGTCTTCATCTATAAAACGAGGATAATGATTTCTACACATCCTCAGGTTGCTATAACAGTGGTGGGCACTCAGTGAGTGCTCTCTCCAGTAATAAATTTGTAGGAGAATATGGCTGGGAATTCATGTCCTACTTTTAAAAATAACGAGCCAAGGATAAAAACAAAACACCAAAATTTACCGACCTCCAATTATTCTCAAGGATTAACTGGTTTTTCTTTTACCCAATGGAAAAATATAAAATAATTGCATTCACAATTTTCCCACCATCTCTTTCCAGTGAAGATAAGAGAATGTTTCTCTTAATTTTGAAGAGGAACTCAGTGCTGGTACCACCACTGCAGGTTTCTATTTTTTCATTTGAATTAACTGTCTCATAGGTTTGTAGCTCTCTGACTCTGGTTTCCTAGTGAATGCCCCTGGACTGGAATGTTCTAGCAAAAATTCATATAGTGCTAACAGTTACAGAGAGACATCAGTTACAATTACATACATGATCTCATGCATCCTCGTGGCAACACTGTGAGAAGATATTATCCTCTGGCAGGTGAGGAAATGCAGCTCAGAGAAGTCCATCCCCTGGGAGCTGGTAACTGCTGGGGCCGGGACTGCAACCCAGGACTGATCCGCAGCAGGTGGCGTTCTACTGAACCACACTGCTCTCAGAGTCACAGCTCTAGAACCATAATGGAGAACACATCTATTTACTCATATCTGGGCGAATTAATATATGTAGGCAGAATCACATATTCAAATATTTCCTTAGGAAGGTCTGGGACAGAGCTCTATGAAGGATGCAGTAGAGAATAGGTTAATTGTACTTGGAAAGGCGACCCTGTCTTGAGGTGGGTTCATTTCACAAACTAAGTTCACTCTGAATCTTCAGTTGTTGAGTCTGAAGAGTATTTTCCTAAATGCCCTCAGTCCCTGGGGAGGGGAAGCCAGTGATGTGGGAGGGGGGAGAGGTCAGGTCTCAGGGAGAGGGCAGTGCACACAGGAGACTTAAGGAGACACAATGGCCTGGACTCTAGAATTTCCTAGGGGACTTGCCCTGCCCTCTTGGCATGAGAAATGTGTGTTTCTGTTTTCCGCTTTCATGAAGGAATTCATTGTCATTTCCCAGACTGCCTGGTTCACTTTTCCTAGACTCCTACATATGGAATGCCACAGAGACATGCTTCACTTCCACACATCCCGCCACAGGCTCTCACCAGAGCAGTGAGTCAGAACAAAACGGGACAATTATACCATTTGCTTTTGCAAAGAATTCGTTTTTAGTAAGGATGCTTTTAGAAGAGTTAATGTCTTAGGAAATTACTTTTCCCTCTTCTGAATGGTGTGTTGTGTTACGTTTACCACACAGAGCTACGCATTCACAGAGGGACTTGGAAGCTGGGAGGAAGTTGTTTTCATGTCATTTTCAGTCACCACAGAACATGCAGACGTGTTCTGGAAGGAAGTTGGAAATACCAGCTGGGAAAGTGGCTACATATGGGCCTGCCTTCCAGAATGTTCTATAGCTTCCTGTGACCACCAGCTGACTATCATAGACAACAGAGTTATCCCTTCTCACTGTTCACTGGTGGACCACACTGCCTGTCTGCAGAGCGGGTAAGAGGGAGGCTCTCTTCACAGAACGTTCTGGATTGTACAAGGACAAGATCTCAGCTGGGCAGGGGCACTTGGCCTGCGTGTCTGCTCACACTGGGAATGTTATTAAGACCTCAGTACAGCCATAAAACTCCTTATTGACATTCTCTTTGCTCATTTTCTATTGTTTGTACTAGCCAGGCTTGAAAAAGCCTCTACAACTTGTCTAAGATTAATTAATTAAAAGAAGTTCCAAGTTCATTGGTGAAGGCAGGCTAAGAAAAATATCACTATTTGTGAATATATTTGTATTTGTTTGGAGGATAATGTTTTAATCCTACAATATGCTGGAGCTATTCAACTCACTGCTAGACAAAATGAGCCATGTCATTTTGTTTAAAACCAAATGGTTCCTTGGGACTGACCCAAGTGGATCAGATGTTACAAAATAGAATTTACTGTATAAAGCATCTATAGATGTCAAATAGTAAAAATTATGTAATCCCCAGTATAGTGACCACAAGTTTCAGACCGACATCTTGGAGAAGGTAGAGGGTGCCTTTCCAAGACCCATGTTTCTCCAAGTGCCCAGGATAGTGGGGTGCGCTAAAGCAGGTGCTGATCACAGCTGATTAAATGACATTGTCCAGAGAAGTGAGCAGGTCAATGAGAGAGGACCAACTCCCTCCAAAATAAGGTCATGGAAATAACCCTCTGATTGTCTTCATTTGTGATGAGTGAATTTCCCTTAACCGGCTCTTCCATCCATTTGAGGATCGGTTGATGTTGCCACCATGTTGGAGCCCAACAGGCCACTCAGCTGTGCTGCTGATCAGGCTTCAGCACATTCAACCTGTCTTCCCAGAAAGGTTTCACAGTCTCACAATGTCTTCTCAATAAGAAAAGAGACAGTCCAGCACAACGAAAAGATGAAATATGGGGCATGTGCAAAAACCCTTTTAAATAGCCTTTATAAGGAGGTCCTCTCTGAATAAAATACTTCCCATAACAACGCAAAGGTAGCAGGTGCTCACCCTAGTGACCTGCAGAGAGAAGCTCACCAGCCAGGCTCTGGTGTAGTTAGCAGGGGAATCCGAGAAAGTGCAGGCAGAAACCCCCTCCATACAGAAATCACGCATTCTCCTGAGACCCTGCTTCATCCAGACCCTTAAAGAAGGTGCTGACCTGTGGGCTGGATGGGAATTCTCAGGTTCCCAGAATATGGATTCAATGTGACCGTGGATACGACACCAGTTTTCCAGCACCATGCAGTGCTGGAGTGCAGATTTCTTTCCTCCGGCTGGGCCAGATACAAGGGGACAGCCTTGTTAATGGATGATTGGACCACACAGACAACAGGCCCTCCAGCTGCAACCACGTCCGGGAACAAGTCAGCACTGCGCTGCTGCATTGGAGCAAACCCCGGCACCACACGGCCTGTGCTCTCCCCGCCGACGGCTCTGAGCGGACAGAGCAGGCTCTCACTGGTGAGACCAAAGATCTGTGCACATCCTTAATTTCACCCTTAGTAACGTGCTTGGGATACATTCCCAAGAAGACAATAATTGGGTCAAGGCTACACAGTTTTAAGGCTTCAGAAATTGCCCTCTGGAAGATTGTACTAATTTCAATCCCACCCAAAGCCCATGAGACTTGTTTCTCTGTATTCCTATAAACACTGATTATTGTACGTTTTCACCTTTGTCACTGTGACAGGTGAAAAACTGCATCTCATGACCTTCTGTGCTACATTATTAGTATTAGTCTTAGCATCTCCCTAGCACGTCTTCCCTGAGGTAAGTCTTATTTATCCTCCCAACCGGTCTGTGGGGGAGGAGGCAGCAGGACATTGAACTCGTCTCCAGTTACTGCACTAGCTGATGATCCTGCAACCCTCAGGCACAGGGCGTGAGTAATCGTGCATTTTTAGTCTATTTACGTTATGCTGGGCAGAACACAACTTCAACTCACATGAAATCAGAGGCTGGGGGTTCCAGTGTCTTAGGGACAACAGAGGGGGAGGGATGGGACGGCTGCTGTCAAACAGAAACCACGTGCTCTGAGGCCCTTTCTAACATGCGTGAAGTTCTAGCTTCTCTTCCCACTCTCTTACCTTGGACTTTCAAAAACTGTGTTTTTGATGGATAGTTAATAATACATGAAAATGCTCATAAGTGCAAAAGATGAGTTTTCTAAAAATAATATTATCCTAATTTTGTTAGTGAATAAATGTGTGCATGTATGTGTACAAATAAAGTAACCAGAAGAAAATGCAACAAATTGTTAATCGTGAGTTTTGCTAGATGATGTTCATTTTCTTCTTCACATTTTTCTGTATTTTCAAATTTTCTACAGTAAACATGTATTACCTTAGTAATTAGGAAAATAAATAATAACTCAACATCTAACCTCTCTGCATCTATGAAACTCCATTCCTTACACCTTCACAGCCAATGTCAAAGGCTTATTATCAAAAAGGACAAAAGCAGAGATTGCAAATACATTTCAAACTGGGGGAAAACTCCCCTGAGCTGGTGGGGGCAGCCTGGAGCATTGTTTTCAGAAGGATCTGAGGCTGAGTCCTCCCTCCCCAGCAGCCAGCCCGGGATCTCTGAGCAACATCCAGCACAGACTGGCTGACGGAGAGCTGCCTGGGCGCGAGGCTACTGTCCTTCCTGAAACAGACTCCAGAGCTGGACGGGCCTCGGAGGTCATTTGGTGAAACGCTTGTGAACTAACAAGGAAACCGATTCAGAGACAGGAAGCGACTTACTCAAGGTTCTAAAGGCAGAGCCGAGACCAGAACCTGATGAAGGAGGCCTGGCCCGTGGTCTCCACGCTGCCTGCAGCTGATCCTTCATCTCACGTGAGCCCCTCCTACAGCGACGGGCAGGAGTTCTCCGTCCCGGCCTCCGAGAACCCACTTCTCCCCTCAACTCTTCCTCCCTCCTGCCAGAACCACCTGGTCTCCCCGACTGCGTCTCAGGTGTCTGTCTTCACACAAACCATCCACATGGAGAAAATGGAGTAAAACGAATCCCCAGGCTGGATGGAGTGACGGATTTGACCAGTAGGGGGCAGGACCAGCAAGGAAGAGACCAAATAGCATGGAAGCGCCTGCACCTCGGCTGTCGGGGAGGAAAGCCCTCATGGAAGATTGTGTGGACACGTTTGTAGGCAGACTTAAAATCCACAAAGCAGATAAACAAGATTGGAAGGAAATATGCCAAACATGAAAAGTTATTATCAATAAAGGATGGTATTTTAAGTCATTTTCCTTTTTAATTATTTGCCTCTAAAACAATGAACTAAAATTGTCATAAAGAAGGTAGTAAAATAGTGAGAGATCATTTCAGTACAAGGTGTGCAGTGTCCGAGTGCTGAAAAGACACTCACAGAAGCACACAGAAATGTGATCGTCTGTAGTTCCATCTCGCATCTCATACAACCATGCAAATATGAATGTGTAATAAAGACATTTAAAGTCATAGAATCCTGTACTGTTTCTGCAGCGTGAATGTATTTCAAAATCTTGTTAGCCTTATTTAAAAAACCAAAAAAATTACGGATTTAGCTAAATTGGAAGAATAACACTGAATTCCTCGCACATGCAACCACGTCAACATGACAAAATAGTTTATTTACATTCACTTGCTCAGTGTGAAGATTTACATGAATATGTAGGAGTTATGCTGCGTCATCTCAAAATAACCTAAAATTTACCATTTAGGGCATTAGTTTCCATAACATAGGTGTTATTCCTAACTCTAAGTTATTTATAAAGAAATGTGTTGGTGTCTCTGGAGTATGTATATATAGATACGGCAAGGTAGGAATGTATGAAGTAGGTGTTCCTTACTATAAATAATCAGCACAAACCTCAGGTATTTTTTTTTTTCATTTTGGCCAAATTCTTCATTTTAACTCCCATCTTTCTTTTAAGATATTTCCATAACACTCTTCAAACATAGCTTTAATTTTGAGCTAAGTGTCATTATAGAAAACGAGGATCTCTGGGGAGAACCGGCCTCCAGTCCTTACCTGGCATCCCAGGGTCTGTCGGACTCTCTGGTCCCCAGAAGGCGGAATGATTCCTCTTCTCCGTGTTTGATGACGCAGGGGGCTGGTTTGGGGCAGTGACTTTCTGGGACTTCTCCAACAAGGAGTCCCTCGTGGCATCTTTGCTCGGTCCTGTGGTTCTAGGCTGGGCAGTTGCTGTGCGGGTCCCCATCTTCCGGTCAAGGCTCACTGAAGTGTGGAAGAGCAGCTGTTAGTTATTGGGTTCCTTTTCTGGGCTTTAACTAAAACCACTAAGTTTGCAGTAGATTTAAAGTCATGGATATTTGGGAATAAACCTATCCATCTAAAACACATCAGAGCCCCACAAAAACCTCCTCTCTCTCATTTTCAAATGGGTCATCTGTCCTCTCTCTTCTTCCAATAATTAACTTTGTAAACGTCACACATAAATTGACAAAGACAGAACTTAACCTAAGGTTTGAGATTCTGCATCCTTCCTCAAACCAGAACTTCATGGAACTTTCTGCAGCTTCTTGTCTTCTTGGTAGTGACTTTTACGTACATGACATTATAAGACTGGTTTACAGCTCTGACTGAGCCACACCCTAGGATGCCATAAATTGTCTAAAAATTTACCAAAACGAAATGTTAACTTAGTTCACTTTTTTAAAAGCATATGCTATAGAGCAGTTTTAGGAGAGGGAAGCACCTTGGAAAATTGAAAGCAATTTTTGAAAAATGTAAGCAACATCAGGAATTTGACATTTGTCACTTGGACTACAGACTCATGGTAAATGCTCATTTAATTTAAGGCACAGCTCGTTCACATACAGTTATACCTGAAACTGGGCAGAAAAAGAACAACATTGAGTTTTCATTGTATTATGAGAATACAGACATCCCCTCCACCACCTGGCCTGAAAATGCGATGCAGCTGACACACAGTGTTGACAGAGAGCTTCATCAGACCCATCAGGACACTGCTCCACTCCATTGCAAGCCAGCGTGGTATCAGTGCAACAGCCATTGTCACAAAAGAAGTGGTAGCATGAGCAGACGCTCAAGCATCCTGTTTATAAACAAGTCTCAAGTCACAGGACGGCAGGGAAGGTAAGACTTCCACTGGGCCAAGATTAGCAGAGACTAATGTGAGATGAAATGCCTTTGAGTGTGCATGAGAGGCAGACAACGAGGAAACACCTAACAGGTGGATCTGGATGGAGCAATGGGTTCTGGAATGGTTAGTAAGTCTCCTCTTGGCCCTCCTGACTTAGTTCTCAGGAATCACCCTGGGCTCTTCCTCTCAGGGTGGGTCTCAAGCCGACACGGCCTAAGAGGTGGGAACAGAGAAGCAGCAGCTCCATCCAGACCTTCTGCACGCTGTGTCCTGCATTCTTGTTTCCTAAGTAACAATTTTTACTGAGATTCACTTTCTACTATTAATCCCTATTTGTTGTCTTCCACACATCTTCTGTATGTGCTGTAAAGAATAAACAGACTCTTTAACTACTTGCGGGTAAGAATTAATTTTCTTCAAATAATGAAATGGTCTCCTTTGTGGAGCTCTTCGGAGATTTTAATCAGCAGGGCAATTCACCAGAGCCACATGGATCTTCCTGAAAGGCATTCCCCCTCGCCCCCACCACACTCCAGATTCTGCCAGCTTTACAAGAGCTGGGTGACTTTCTGGCACTGTAATGCAAATTAAAGATATTAGGCTAGAAGTAGGTCAGGAAGAGTTCCATAATTCTCCAGGGACAGAACGGACCAGGTAATTGTCTCAGGACACGGGAGAGCGGTAAACAATGATATTCCACTGAGACAAATGGCTGAGCGTAGTGTACACACCCAAGCCGAACACTGGATACATATCCCACTGGAAAGCTGCTAAATTAAAAGGTTGGGAAAGGAGTCCATCCGCGTGCAGGGAAATTTGAAGCTGTCTTGATCCAGGAGGAAGGAGAGGGTAAAAGAAATGGTGTAGACTCCTGAGAAAGAAGAGGAAGTAAAGAGTGTCTGTTATGACTGAGAACTTGGGCCTAAAAGAGAGTCTGCTCCAGTCACAGGGAAGTGGGGAGGAGGAGAAGTGGAGGGGACCTCTGTGTCCAAGCGGGACACAGCTACTGCCCACATTTCTTAAATTCAGGATGTGAAAATCCTAAATATCTCAAGGTTTTACTCATTCCTTAGTAGTTTTGGAGATAGATCCGTATTTGTAACTTATCCATCTGTCCCTGGATTAGTGGTCTGCAAACTTTTTTGACCATGCATCTCAACCAATAATATATTAGTCAACAGGCATCTCCAATCTTTAAATAATGTGCGTGTATTACTGTACTAACATATTGAACATGTTATGAAATACACTGAAAACTTAAAGGAGAAAATTAAAAATTAGTAAAATATAAGTTCTGGTGTCTTCTCTTCCACCCTAAATATGTCTTGCCCATCTGTAGGGGATCCTGTTCGGAACCCACTTCTTGTTGGAAGTGCTTGTTGTCTTGCTATTTGAATAGATTACTTTTCCCAAAGCTTGAAAACAGGCAGCCTCTACAGCCAAAACTGAACCAAGTTAGGGGTACCTGCTTCTCTGTTTACCCTGGAAGGCACCACCCTTGGTCACCATTACAGCTGGCTCATTAACTGCAAGATCAATATATACAACAGAGGGCAGAGAAACAGCCCTGGTTCTCACTATCTCTGTGTGGTGTTTTATTAACTCTAATTCACAGTTTTTATTCTAGTTTAGCCAGGGAGTGATTCCGATTGCAGTTAGGACGACAGCCACTCTTTGTTGTTTTCTATATAAAGTTACATACAGGAGACCCATACCCAAGAGTCCCTTCAGTAATCAAAAGGGGTTCACATCCCTCTCTGCCACTTCAAATACATCATCATCTTGGAGAAAGGCCACAAATGGACAACTGGCAGTTTCCCTTGGAGCCTGGAAAATTGGCCTGAGGAAATAAACGAGGGCAGGCTAGTGGCTGGTGAGGGGTCAGCCGTCTGCTTAGTCCAGAGCAGGCCCTTTCTCCCTCCCAGGGACCTCAGTTGTACAAAAGCAAGCTTCCCTAATTTCTGTCGGGTATGACGGGGTGTCTGTGTCTTCTCCCCATGAGCACTTTCCTCCCAGATCAGCACTCAACTTGGTCCCTGCCCAGGCGAGCAGTGGGTCCCAGGAGGACAGCCCTGTGGGCCCAGTGGTCCTCCCTGGGGAGTGACTGGCTGGAGCCAATGCCGTGTTGTCGATGGCCCCGGTGCACGTCCCACAGACCTCAAGGTCCTCAAAAATGATTTGAGTAACTGTCTGGCCCTCCTGTGCAGCTGCAATGAATCAACAGGGCCAGCTCGAGTCTGGGCTGGGATGGACGGCTCTGCTGACTCACCATCACTGCCTCACGGTGCTGCCGTGGGCAGGAGTTTGGTGTCCGGCCTGTCCACGTGCAGTCACCCCTCCTTCCTCACAGTAAGCTGAAACTTTGGCTGGACAGGGAGTCAACCAAATGAATTTTGAATGCTGCTTATTCTCTGTATCCCTGTGGAAGGCCAATTATCAAGGTTTCCAAGTCCTGAGGATTCTGGAATCGCCTTCCTTCATTTCCAATATGCATTCTGACCTGTATCTTATATGGCAGACAAGATCAGCAACGGTCCAGTAAATCAGTCATATTCCAATCTTTTTATCCTTATTCTCCCAACTCCTGGCTTAACTTCAGTCCAAATACTGAGCAATCAAGGACATCAGAGACATGCTGCAAGTTTATCAGAGGCATGGCTAGGGACGGCGAAGGTTCTCTACACAGGGATGGGACTCAGGTCTATGGAGCACACCACTCCATGCCCAGTGCTCACACAGTGTGCGAGCACTGCAGACACTGAGAAAATATCCACTGACTGAGTGACAGGACCCCGACATATATGACATCTCAGCACTTCTGTACAAGTGGATTCTGGGGGAGGTTCCCTCTGCAACATCCCATATCTTTAGTGCTGCCAATTTCCGTATAATGTTCTTCTTTTTTAAACTTGATGAGCTAATCAGAAAAGTAGATGCTTGGGAAAGTAAGAAACATACATAAATGGGATAAATAAGTTTACACTGTGAGTGACGTCAGCATCATATCAGAGCGAGTTGTTCCCTTTGTCTCTCCCCTCTAACGGACATCCATTGACCAAAAAAGGATTCCCTACACAGCACAACAGGATGCATAAGAGATCTATGCAGCTATACATCTGAAGGCAGGTGGACCAGACCCCAGGATGCAATGGAAATAGGTGAGCAACCCCCTACCGCTCCCCCAGCAGCAATGATACAAGGCGCCGATTCTCACACCAGCCCACACACCTACGAGTGGTCACTGCAGGAGCAGAAACAATGGGAGCTGCAGCTCACACGACTGCAAGCGGATGTGGTGGGAGCAACAAGAAGAGGTGTGGCTTGCTCACTGCCTAACTCCCAGTGGATCCAGTGTGCATATCCCCTTCCCCTCCCCCAGTAGTGGCCAGGTGTTTCGAACAGTAGGGATAATATACAAAACTTAGATTTTCCTGGTTTGGGCGGGGCACCCTGACCTGAGTATTCAACACACCAGCTAGCACCGGAGACCAGAGGCTACAGGAGCAGACAGCAACAACACCCTCTCCCTGCTTAGTCCCTGCTGACCCCCAGTTATGGCAGGAGAAACCCACGACCAGAGGCTTCATGAACCACAGAAGAACTGGTGACCCAGCTCCCAGTGGCAGCACCCCCAACACCAGCTCCATCAGCAGCAGGAGCTGCATACAAGTCCCCGGGTACCCAGGACCCTGGCAGCAATAGTGACATCCATGAACCCAGCACTGCTAGACAACCCAGAAGCAACAGCCTAGGTGGTGCATGGGGTAGCTGCGTCCAAGCCTGTGGAGAGCCCACAGGGAGCCAGTGGAGGAACACGAGACCCAGATGATCCCAGAAGTAGCAGAAGTGCTTGCAGCCTGTGACCCCAGTGGAAATGCCTGAGACTGCAGCAACACTGTAAGCAGCAAGGCACCAGCAACCTCAGAGACACAAGTGGCACAAGGAGGGCACTGATGATGCATCTAGCAGAGGCAGTGGAGGCTGGAGAGTGCAGGCTCTCAGATACAACCAGAAACAGCTAAAAACCAAAGTAATCAAATCCATACTCAAATAGGAAAGGTGGTTACTACCACAAATGCACCAGCATTTGAGGATCAATTCATCAAACACC